CAATAATCGGCTTTACGGAAAGATTCCTTCGGGAGGTCAATTTCCGACGTTTCCGAGCTCAACTTTGATGGGAACAATCTTTGTGGGGAGCACTGGTCCCATTGTCAAGATGCTACTACTAGCAAAGATCCTGATGAATCCCCTAAAAGATCAAGAAGGAACATAGATGTCATCATTGGAATGATTGTTGGAATCTTTTTTGGGACAGTTTTCGTGCTCGGCATTATGCTTGTGATCGTGTTGCGTGTGAATAATCGCAATGAGGTCGATCCCGAGAAAGAGGACGCTGACTTGAATGATAAAGATCCGGAAGAAACCGGTTCAAGGCTAGTGGTCCTCTTCCAAAATATGGAAACCTGCAAAGAGCTCTCCATCGACGACCTCTCGAAATCAACCGATGATTTCGACCAAGCCAACATCATCGGTTGTGGGGGTTTCGGTCTGGTCTACAGAGGCATCCTCCCTGATGGTCGTAAGGTTGCCATTAAACGGCTTTCGGGAGATTGCGGTCAGGTGGATAGAGAATTCCATGCTGAAGTCGAAGCACTTTCGAGAGCTCAACATCCAAATCTTGTCCATCTACAAGGGTACTGCATGCATAAAAGTGACAGGCTCTTGATATATTCTTACATGGAAAATGGCAGTTTGGACTATTGGTTGCACGAGAAGGTCGACGGACCGTCTTCGCTAGACTGGGAAACGAGGCTGCGGATAGCACAAGGTGCAGCCAGGGGTCTAGCTTACTTGCACCAGTCATGCGAGCCTCATATTCTTCACAGGGATATAAAGTCGAGTAACATTCTCTTAGACGAGAATTTCAAAGCACACTTAGCGGATTTCGGTCTTGCGAGGCTCATACTTCCCTATGATACACATGTAACCACTGATCTTGTAGGTACATTAGGTTACATTCCTCCCGAGTACGGTCAAGCTTCCGTCGCTACCTATAAAGGCGATGTGTACAGTTTTGGGGTCGTGCTTCTCGAGCTTATGACCGGTAAAAGGCCGATGGATATGTGCAAGCCGAAAGGATCCCGCGATTTGATCTCTTGGGTGATTCACATGAAGATGGAAAATAAGGAGACTGAAGTTTTTGATCCATATATCCACGACAAGCAGCACGAGAAGGAAACGTTGCAGGTTCTCCATATTGCATGCCTTTGTTTAAGCGAAAGCCCAAAAGTTCGGCCAACGACACAGCAGCTGGTTTCTTGGCTAGACAAGGTCGACATCGGCAGCTAGCTCGGCAAAGCAACGACCGAAAAACTTCGGTTTTCCGTAGTAACACTATCGTATTGTAAATATTATATGATTTTGGAGGGATCTAACAGGAGCAACACAATTTTTGTAACAAACTTTTGTACAAGTTTTCACATTCAAAGTAGGATTCTTGGTTTGGGAGATGATCAAATGCTTGGTTCCACAATGTACTATAAAGTTAGATATTCTGCTCTGTTACTCGAACTAGCGGTTGAGTGTCGGATTCGGAGGATCATGTTCGATACCCGTGTTCGAATATGTGTCGGACACTCGAGTTTGGGGTGTTCCATCTCCTAATAGAAACTTGACAAGGAGAATGCTAACTGAACCGTATAGACACTCGGTCGGTCGTTACTCCTTTCTTTTGGTTTAGGGTTCAAGGTTTCGGTCATTATCCATGTTAACTTCTAGCTTCTTTTTTCTTCATTACTCCAATTTTGAAAATATCAAAATATTACAAATTAATCTAAACCAAACTGGTATCGCTTGGCAGCCATGATTTCAATAGCATTTGGTTGCATGCAATACCATCGAGTCAGACCACAAAGTCGCTTGCAAAAAATCAGACCATTTGACATTTTATTAAGAATAAATTCTTGGTCCATAGGGTGGAAAAGAAGCAACTTCTTGGTCCACCGTAAGTTTTTGGTAAAAAAAAATTCTTCCTTGGGCAAGTTTTATGGCAGACCGATGGCCTAACTATTTCCTATTTTATGACATTAACAGGTTTGACCTTTAAATGTTTTATTTATTTTTATTAAACTAAGGTGGTTATAAAGTAGTATCTATTCTAAATACTTTCAATTATTTGACAATGAACATGCAATCACACTGCTGCAGTCGTTGATGTTTAAACCCGTAATCTCTAGGAACAACAACGATTCCTTTAACTATTGAGGTAAGTTGATTCATGCACCTTCGATGTTATCCGGAATCGTCATTTTATCTAAACTTTATATTTTTAATATTTTATATAGGATATTAATATAGATGTGAAAGTACGATTCTTCAAATATATATATAAATTAAACATATCATTATAGATATGATGTTTATTAGAAAAATCAATTTAATTGAATCTAATCAAGTGAGCTCAAACAATTCATTTTTGGGCAAAGCACATAAATAGTCACATGACTATAGGATATTGCTTTATTAAGTCCTATAACTATTAAAAATTATAAAATGATCCTCCAAATATAGGGAGTTGCTTTGTTGAATTTCTTGACTATTAAAAGTTACAAATTGGTCACCGACTATTCATTATGTTCTAAATTCGTTCTTTTCCGTTAAAAATTTGATGTCATTCTTAGCTGTACGTTAACCTGCCGACTAAAATATGATAAAATTTGATCTCATAATCTCAAACGACTATCATATCTCAGTCAACATGTTAAAGTCCAACTTAAATAACCGTTAATTTTTTTAATGAAAAAGGACGAGTTTAGAATATTATGAATAATCTAATTACTATTTTGTAGCTTTTAATAATCAAGAGACTCAACAAAACAACTTTCTAGTCAAGGGATCATTTTATAACTTTAATAGTCAAAGGACTCGATGAAACAATATCTTATAGTCGAGGGAATATTTGTGTACTTTCCCCTTCATTTTTTTTTACCTTGAACATGTTTTCCGGCTTTAAACATAAATCTAAATCCAACTCACTTAAAGCACAATTTGAGTCGATTATAGCAAATTCCAAATACAACTACCATTCAAGAAAATGACCAGAGGGCTTGTTGACACTTAGGTTTAGAGTGGTAGGTTTTTCAAGGATCAACGAGTCAAACTCCATACATAGGCTTCTAGATACTGATGCTCAATTGTTGATCCACAAACGAAAATTTTTACATCTTGATTCAGCCACCAAACGAAGCAATCTAATCATCTTGCCAAGGTACGTCTCACTTTTCTGTATGTTTCCATCCCTTCCTGAAACCAAATCTTTATTGTTTCTTTTGGTCAGAAATCAAATCTTTATGTTAGGAAGTTGATTCATACATTTCGACATAAACACAACCGTCGGTTCGGAAACGGCACCCGGTTTCGGGGTTTTAACGGTTACAACAGCATTCCATAAAATCAAAATAAAATTTAACCATCACCGGTACCTAAATAGTCGATATATTCCACAATTTCAACTCCAGAAATACATCAAAAGAAACAATCTAGGGAGCTCTTCCAGTTTTTGCCTTCACTATTGCTAATTTTTCTGTTCTTTTTGCACAGGGTACACAACAAGAGCCATGTTCTAAAATCGTTACAAAAGCATCCGGAATCGTTCAGCGTATGGGATGATACTGCGTAATACCTCGTTTTGGTGGCAACTTCCTCAAGATGAAAAGGACTAGAGATGAAGGTAATATCTCTACCAACTGCTCAACAAAAGAACCATGTCATTGAAATATATTTCGAAAGTTATGTTTGTAATCGAAATCAAGAAACGCATAAACATTATAATTTCGAACACGGTATAAAAATAACTAAAACATGACACACAAATTTTAATATAACAATTCCTCTAGCGTATATATTTTCAAACCTAGAATTGGCCTCAGGCTTATGCACCCAAACGACTATACAAGCATAAGCAATTAAAGTAAAGAAAAAGATATGAAAAAAATATGGGTGAAAGAATTATAAGGATATAATAGCTCTTAGTAGTGAATAAAATTCTAGAAGGGAGATAACCGAGTTTCGCAATCTTATTGTTTTATTTGGTTATCTTGTAAAGCCGAAGCTGTTCATTGCTCAGTAGATACAGACTTAACTTGTGATTATTATCTATATTATGATAAACATATTACTGACACATGGTGAAGATAGATAGCATAACAAATACCACTTAAAGAGGCAACTCACTCCAAAGTGAATAAAATTCTAGAAGGGAGATAACCGAGTTTCGCAATCTTATTGTTTTATTTGGTTATCTTGTAAAGCCGAAGCTGTTCATTGCTCAGTAGATACAGACTTAACTTGTGATTATTATCTATATTATGATAAAACATATTACTGACACATGGTGAAGATAGATAGCATAACAAATACCACTTAAAGAGGCAACTCACTCCAAATTGTGGTCAGGAGTAAATGTAGTACAACTCATATTTGTTGATTATATTCAGCAAATAATTATGCATTCAACAATACAATCAGAATATAGTTGCAATGACAAATCTATTTGATTTAATTAAACGAAACGGAAAAAATTCTCACAAAATCTGAATGCAGTTATGTTCATCAATTTCATTAATAAATTTCGAAAACCTAAGTTTAGCAGACTTAAGTCTCAATTAACAGTGAAACTACATAGGTAAAATTACTAAACCTAAAGTCCAAGAGCTAGTTTGCAGTTGGGTGATGATAGTCTAACCGGACCAAATAGAATATGTGTTAAAACAACCCTCCTGAGCTTGCAAAAGTCATAAAAGTTCAATTAAAGCTGATCACAAAACATTCTTCTACATAACAATCTGATGTCAACAAAAGACTTGGTAGTTTCTTGAAATATGCATTCCTAGTCATCTGAAAGATGTATATGCAACAACATAAATGAGGCAAATGTGGCAATTTTTTTAATTTTTTATACAGCAATAAGATGAGTTAAGCAAACTTTACACTGTCTCAATATGAATCTCTTAATAATAAGTAGCAATAACCAACATGATACAGCTATTTACCAAACTTACCAGGTAATATATGAGGTTTAGAACCGGATGGTCCAAAACATCAAGGTCAGCGGCTTTGTCAAATGCATTAAAGCACATCTACACAAAAACAACAACAATAGAGATCAAATATGATAAACTTTGGTCAAATAACCAATGATTGGTGAATTGGATATTGATCTAAACCCAAACCAGCTAGCAGATAAAGGTTCACCTTTCTATCAAAAAAAAGATAAAGGTTCACCTAAAGTACTTCCATTTTGTAGCAAAAGTGCTATAACATTATAGATATCCAAAAGTTTCACAAAGCCTAAGGAAACTTGCTTAAAGCATGTCAATTTGAAATACATAGATAGGAGAGCGAGAAAGGAAAGAAGAGATCCACCATAATGCATCTGATTAGGAAACATGAGAAGCATATGGTCGTCGCGTAACCAACCTGCCCAAACCAAAAAGAAATAACAGTAAAAAATTGTAAATAAAAAGAAATATTGGAAAAAGAAACCACAACTACAGAGTAGATATGTACTTCTTGCAGCTTCTTACGCCGCCCTTTGGACTCTACAGGGAACCGCTGCAACATTAAGAAAAGCCTGCAATGAAATATATTGTTACATAGCTTCTCCATGCAATTTGCATACAAATCATATTAGTAGACATTTTCAATATATAGAAAAGAAAAAGTGGATATAAATGTTTAAAGTGACAATATCTTATGTTTATTATTTCCTAATAAAATGAGAAATATGTTACATTAGTTCAATTTTTTCTATCAGCTAATGCAACCAATTCTGTTTTTCCTATCTAAAATATTTTTTAGAAAATAAAAATAAATAATGATTCAAAAATTAACAATAGAAAATATTTCATAATTTGGAAATAAGAATGAAGACAATTGATGCAGTAAAAATAATGAAGAGAGTAAATGTTTTTCCTGTCTTCACAAGATTCCAAACCCCTTAAGTCACTTTAATTCATGGTATAGATATCATACATATTGAATTAGCTTGGGACCAAGTAAGATGTCCAATAATTATACTAGACCTTAGTTAAGAAGTAAGAGAGACCTTTTAACAAAGAAGCTGAAGAGTTACCAATAACAGTCACAATTTTGAATAACATAGAAAAGACAATGAATACAAATTTCAGCATCCAACCTTATCATAAACTAAATAATCACACGGAACTTGATCTTATGCTTATGCCATTAAAACAACTAGTAACAATACAATAAATGCAATATAATTACCTTCCACCATATAGTAAAAACCCAAGGGCTGCAAACAATGATACACCTGCTCATATAAATAAGATAAAAATAATTTATTTGTATTTGAAACAAATTGCCATGAAATAAACATCCATAAAGGATCTAAAATTACTTAGGCTCCATTTGCTAAATGATTTTTTTGGGGATAAATGTAAGTGATTTTTTTCTGCCCTTTGCTCTTCTTTTTCTTTTTTACAAAAAATAAAATTAGAATATAATACAAAAGATAATCAAAAAGCAAAAAAAATTACAAAATAGAGGCCAAGCAATTATATCCAGAAAAAGTCTAGAAAACACCAGAGGTTCAATAACAGTTAACTATTATAAACCCATTAAGGATAAAACAAATATTACCTGCAAAGAACACCTTAGAAAGAACGACCAGAACTGGTATATATTTCCACCATAATATCAGCCACATTGCAATCTGAAATCAATTCCCCCCAGTCCCACATAACAAAAAGGAACTTTAGTAATATCTTCTCAAAAGTTATAGTTCCAAAGTAAATCTAGTATGCAAAGATACTTACAAGAGTTATAGAATGACAGCCTAGCTAGGATGAAAGAAATCTGTCTGTTGGTTCATATTTACTACTAAAATCTAGAAAAGTTCCATTAACACCCTTGGTACTGTTCTAGCTAAAGTTATAGTGTCTTGTAACCTACTACCTTGATCTTATGGTGACTCTTATCCAACCAACTCATATTTATAGAAACAAGTATCAAGCTAGCTTATAAGCATTGCGTCATCAGAAGAAATCATTAACAGAATGAAGAAAAATGAAGCTAATGCAAACACTGTGTGCAGAAGTGCAAAGCATCATAGATAATAACAAAGTTTTTTAGCAGAAGTCCCAAACTACCACTCCCGTATTATCAACTTTGTCTTCTCTAAATTTATCTTCTCCCTTGAAGTTGACATGTGTCTTTTGCTTTGAACTAATCTTCTCAAAGCCCAATATTCGGCTCATAAATGTAAAAGAGTACATTGTTTTAAACTATTGACACCTCAAAATGGACACCTGATTATTATTATCATCCCATTTACAGTAGAGCTATTCACAAAGACACAGAGGGCACCACTCAACTCTGTCAAAACTTGGCACCCTTCTCCCCACTAAACATTTATAGAATTTGCAAGAAATTAGCCAAATAAGTAAATAAGGAATACCATATAATAGCATTGTTTTATGAAACATAACTAGCTTCTGAATACAAAGAATCCAACTTCCAATCCTCCATTTGTTGGCAATTATACCAAAATAATAGAACATAAAATTTACCTGAATAGTATAAACCACTGCATTAATTGTAAAGAAACTTGGCCTTGGTCCATCAGTTGATACAGCACGTGCCTGTTTTAGGATATGTAGAGTTAAGATAAATTAATACAAAAGACCAGGGCAAGTAGTCAAACTGTCAAACAGCTCAAGCAGCCTAACCTGGTAGTAGATCTCAGCCCAAAACAAGACCAAAAGTGCATAAGTCGTGAAGAAAGCTAGACTTGGCATGTCAAGCAAGATATGTTGAGCAATCTAAGGGGAAAAAAAAGAAACATCCGACAAAAAACCATGAACAATTCAAGCTAGAGTACAAAAAAGAAACACGAGACATGTACGGTTTATTGCAAACCTCTGGATGTAAGTTCTGCACATCCCGTCTGAAAACAAATACTAGCCCTCGAACTGTCATATTTGAAAGCATTATAAATACAAAACCAAAACAAAGCCCACAAAAAAGTGTTAAAAATAGAATTTTTCAGATACAAACCCCCATTCACCATAAAATTCAGAAAATGGAAGACCTTCTGCGTGGTCCAGCCATACTCGGGAACTCTCAATTGTATCCGAATCAATTGAACCTAAAAATATCAACAATTAAACGAGTTTTTGAAAAAAGATGAACATTAATAACCGTCTTCCTGGCAATAACATCATATTAGATAAAAGTACTAAAAATAGATTCTTAATTGCACTTAGTTCTCGTTTTATTATTATTAGAGCCTTCTTTTTCATATTGAGATGAAGATAAATCAAATAAGCAACACATTTTTATTCTTTCAATTTGAAAGGGTAAATCATTAATTTTCCTAGACAAGCAAGCAATCAAACTGAGACCTAAACCCTAATACTAACAAATGTTTCCCCCCTTAAAATCTAAATATATGAAGTATTGATGAAAAAGAGAGGATATACATACGAAGGCAACGGCCGCGACGAGACCGTAAAGAGCGGCTAGAATGTGAAAAATCCGATCCTGCCAGAGCGGCGAGTCGTTAACGTCGTTCCACCAATTCGATGCTTCTTTCAGCTTCAAAGCTACCACGGCCTCCTCCGCACCGTTACTCTCCATCTCTCCCTCGCCAATCTTCTTCGTCTTCTGCTTTCTCCTCTTCTTTCTAATTAATAATGTTAAAAATCCAAATTAAGAGTTGATTGATTTGATTTTCCCCTTTTTCTTTTTATATCGAAACAAGATTTGAGCAACAAAATCAAAATCCTAAGAAGAGTTGAATCAACTTCGATTTGATAATAATTTCTCGGTTTTTCTTCTCGTTTACGAATTATTATGGAGCAAAGCGAAGATGGTCGACGAAAGGGAGAGGCGTGGAAGAGGAAAGAAAAAGGGTGATTTGATTTTTTTAATTAATTGTCTTTTTTCTTTTTCTCCTTTGAAACTACCGGCAATAGCCGGTAATCATTTGAGAAATGACAGGATATGTATGGATGGGACGATTCATCATGTAACCGCCAATGAACACTGCGCTGCCAAATGTTGGGCTTGGACTGGCTAATGTATTAGGATTACGTATTTTTACTGGACACGTAAATAATACAAACAATTATTTTTACTTTAAGTTATTAAGCTTAAAAAAATAAAATATGAATTAATTCAATCATTATAATATTTGGTAACATGAATTAAGTTGTCTAATTAATTAAAAAAATGGTTGTTATTTCTAAATATTTTATATTCGAACATCAGTGACTGTAATACGAACGATTGAATATTCGTTGTAAAAATTAGTTGGGATTATGTAAAACACCGGTAAACATGAATCAAATTTATTTTATTATTTTTAATTTATATTATAATATTTGATTCCGACTATAATCATAAAATTAGGTGTAATTGTACTTACACATCGTAAAAAATATATAATTTTAAATCTTACGTTTAAAAAATAAATTCCAACTTTTTTTATTAATTATATTTAACTTCATTAAACCAATAATTAGTTTATTTAGTGGAATGTAATATTAGATTCAAATTTTTACATTTGTAAATGAAATAAATTAGGTTATAAAGATTGTCATTATTACTATAATATCCGATTTAAATTAATTGATTAATAAATAGAATATCAATAATTACGCTTGATATGCCACCTAAAAAGCACATTTTCTTTTATAATCTATAAAGACACGACTTTGCAAAATTTTACATAATTTAGTGTGTATAAATTTTTAACCATCAAGTGTTGTTACGAAAATCATTAACAAAATATATTTTTAGGGAAAATTACTCTCATGACCATTTAACTGTAGATATATTCTATTCTGACCATTGATCTTTCAATTTTATCAATTGTACCACTTAACTATTTAAATTATATCAATTAAGTCACTGGCTATAATGTAGTTGCTAAAGATTTTGATATAATTACATATTTGATATCTAATCCTTACATATTCTATCAACTTGACTACAATTTTAATTTAACTATATAAAATTAATATTTTAACCGGATTATAACATAACATGTGTCACTATAATGGTAAACATCTTTTTTAAAGTCAAAAACAAAATTACTTAATTAAATTGTATATAAGCATCTCAAAAACACCTGATTATTAGAGGTATAATCAAGTTAGGATCAAATATTGAGAAGAATAAATCATTTAAATTTAAAATAATAGAGATTTATTGAATAATTATTCTAAAAAAACACAAGTTTAACTTTATTTAAATTTAAGTTAATAGGCACTAAAAATGTAATTATATCAAAAATTTTAAAAGAAATTAGAACCACTTAAACTCTACATATACATGACATGTACCTTCGTCTTTGATTGGAGGATTCATATACATTCAACAATAGGGATGGATCTGGCGGAGTGAATAGGGCGGTCGCCTCTTTAAAATCTAAAATTATCATATATTTTTAAAAAATTATGTATTTTCTATTAAAAATTATTTTCGCCCTTGATATTCTAGAAGTTCAAGTTCGTTCCCCTAACTTAAAATCCAGCGTTCGTCTCTGCTCAACAATACTTTAGCTTGTAATTTAAAGTTTTATTTTTTTAATAATATCTATATATAGGAATGTTCAAAATTTTGGTTAATCGATTAAACTGACCGAATAAAAAATCGATTAATTTTAAGTTCGGTTGGTTA